TTATAAATATAGCTGCAGCTTGGCTCTACCGCGTACAAAAATGCATGATTTTTGTCTAGATTTATCTTCAATGGATATTTTTAGATTACAATAACCGTTGCAGCCTATCAAAAGTTCACCGCCGAACCATAGGCTTCCCGCATAGATAAGCGAAATATGGGGATATTTGCAATAGTTGCCACGCTTGGCCAGGTGTCTTCACAAACGCAATTTTTTTGTTGCTATCTCCAATGAAAATGAAGATAGAAAGTGTCGTTAACATGCGTTATTAGTAAAAACAGTGTCCAGTTGAGTTGAGTGTCACTCAACATACGAAACACAGCACCTTATGCTGCTAGTATTCCGTCGGAGCATGTTTCTTCCCCGGTCTCGAAGAAAAATACAAAAACGTTTATTCTACTAATTATTGATTTGGGTACTGAAAAATAAACACATTTTACAAGTATCATTACTTAAATTTGTTTGTTTCTTCATATTTGTAATTTTCTGGCAACGCTTATTCCTTGTCTCTTCACAATAATGTCATGGTAATTTTCTTAAGTCTGTCTATATCCCATTTAAACTGTTAAAATGGGAAATAGGCAGCCTTTTTCCCATTTTACCCGTTTCCATACCATTTTGTAATTTTATTTCATCTTCGGTCTTCTATTTTCGGTTTTATCTTTGATGTTTACGGAAAATGATTTCTGCTGTTTTCGCGAGTGAATGGAATTTCAGAGTTTCCAAAACGTCCATGTTATGCATATAATATCTTTAACGCTCATTGCACTTGTTACACTCACTATCAAAAAGCAAGTTTACATCTGCCACAATAGCTCACCATCAGGCATTGAGTCCGCACATTGTAATTTTAGCTGTAAGCTGTTACAATAAAGAATAAATAAATAAATAAATAAGCTAAGTTTATCATATTATGGCAAGGAATTATATTACGATTTGCTTGTGTATCATTTCTTTTCTATACATATTACGTTGTACAAACAAAGTTTTGAATGTTACAACTCTTCTACGCCTTACTTTTAACTTAATTCCAAAAATTCAACGTCTAAAGTCGATAATGATAGAAAAACTTTTATCAAAAACTCGTTTCAGCGGCATACGGCGCTGTGGATTTAGCGATAAAATAAACGGGGCGGTGCGACACCGGAGCCGGAGCATAATTTGAATTATCAATCGATTATTAATAACGCGTGCGCGATGACGCGGCGGAATTCTTTCAAACTTCCAAAGTGTCGTGAGGATATTTTGGAAAATTGATTGGGCCATTGTGTTAGAAAATATTTCGTATGCGCATATTTTTAAATTTAATTTTAAACCGTTGCAAAATGTGTTCTAATACAATATGATCGCTAATGGATGTGTTTTGCTGGGTAAAAGTAATGGTCAACTGGTAACACAATGCGCCCATTGCGCTAGGTAAAAGGTTAAAAAGGAAGAAATTGGAAAGGAAAAGAAAATTTAACTTTACTAATGGTAAATGGTAAATGCCTTTCTTACTTCAGCATCGACATTGATTGATAGAAATAACGTCGATGTTATAGAAGCGTAGGTACATTTCAATCCATAATCCTCCCTAATGATATCCTGAATTTTATTATGAGGAACTAGTGACAATTAGTATCTAATGGAAGAAAAAGGTAGTAATAGTATGGGGCTTCTAGGCTGAATTCAAGCTTGAAGTCTCCTCTCCTTACACCAGTACTGTCTGGATCAGTGACTGTCATTTCCCGAATTTGAGACAACGCCCCAACGGAACTGAAGTTATTCATGTGCCTCAAGAACTTACCTGAGCAGACGATTTTATATTTATAGAATTACTCCCAAACTCCTATGTTTTTCGCTATGAATTTATTGTTAACATTAAGTGGCTGACTAGCACCTACAACTCTAAAAAAATTGTATTATTATTGTATACCTAAAGCCTAGATGAAAAATTACTAAAAGTGCTACTCATACAAATTCCCTGGTGATGTACAATTAATAAAACAAACTGTTAGAGTAATAAAACAAACTAGAAAAAAGTTTTTGAATTAATTAATGAAATTCATAAATTCAAATTACCGAGCATTTATTTAGGAATCATCTAAAAGTTATTATAGCACCTACTCCTCTCAGATAGGATCCCGGTATTAATTGATAGTTGGTTTTAAAGAAAAAAAAAACTTATTTAAAATGTTGCGGTCGTTGCATCGGATAGTATTATAATAACTTTCTTTTTAGTGATAATATTATCTTATACCATATGTAATCAACCTTCAGCCTGTATACAAAAGAATATACAAGCTTCACTCTACCGAAACAGTAGACACGAGACAGTCCACGTCTGATAAATATATCAAATGAAATTAATAAAGTCAACAACACATAAATATAAAATAAATTAGGTTTTAATATCGATACAATATAAAGATCAACACCTACCACCGGCCACTCATCTCAGGGGTGGGAACATCGTTCGGCATCAGAGGCGGCTGAACTGAATAAGTGGCGCCGTTAGATATGATTCTCTGAGAGATAACTACATATTTGAGCCATTTGCTATAGACTTCACGTGATGTGAAGTTCCTAAAGGAACTGTACCCGCGACCTTGTCTTTGCCGTTTTTATCAATTTTAATAATAAAATGTGATATAAATTACTGAAGAAATGATTCCTGAAAATTATGTAAATTCATAACTCCGTTACGTACCATTGGTGTCGTAGGAGTCATCTAAAGGTGTGCGACAATGATTTTGTGGCTTCCGATGGATACTAGTTTATTCGTCTCTTTTACGGCAGGCGTAAAATGCCCAGCCCGGTAACGGGGTACAGCGTTTTGTAGTTAAGAAACACACTCTCACAGATCGTTAAAGAAGTAGCTTAGTATTGCTTTGTTTCGTATGGCGAGTGTAGAGAACCGGAGACCCTTATTACTGAAAATGATGCATTCCATTTTAGTCCTCATGGGTGATAACACATCTGCATTTTGATTCTTAATTGAAGGTAGTTGTAGATGTCTAAGGGCTACAGCATTCACTTACCATGAGGTAGACTGTGTGCTCGTCTTTAAAAAGCATTAAAAGTGCGAGTCGTCGCGTACTGCTATAAGTAAAATTACTATTAAAAACTATTAAAGTTCTGTTAAAAATATAATAAAAATACTAAAAAATATTATTAAATACAATTAAAAATAAAAAATACTATAAAATACTTAATATTTAAAAATACTGATATTAAAAAGGCGTTAAAAGTACGCATCGTCGCGTACTCCTTATCTTCAATCTATCTTACAAGGGTGAGGACTGAGGCAAATCTTCCGTACAACAAAACAGGTCCATGTTCAGCAGTGAAAAACATATGACTACAAAAATTAAAATTCAGTATACAACATGTTACAAAAACCCTGTGGTGCCCGTTAAGTTCGTTATCAGGATCAGTATTCAAACCTATAGAAATAACTTTTTTTTAAAAACGCGAATATATATATTTTTTAATTTTATGTGGTTTTATTACCTCTTACTGACACTAGCCGATGAAAGCGGGGTCTTTGACAATCCTCTTTCTCCCCAGACAATGCAGAGGTAATAAAACCACATACATTTTTTTTTAAATAAAATAAAAAAAATATTGTTCGAGTTTTAAAAAAGTTATTTCTATAGGTTTTAATACTAATCCTGATAACGTACTTAACGGGAACCACAGGGTTTTTGTGACATGTTGTATATACAAATGTAAAGTAAAATGTAATATTAAAAATACCTATATGTACACAATATCTTATCTCTTAACCTGTGACCTAAATATTGAATAAACCCCCTCGGAAGGCATAGAGATTTTGTTTCACACTGTATAACTGTTCATCACCATACATAAAATACACAAAATTTAATAGGTAATACCACAGAATAAATCATAGTTAAAGTAATACTGAGTTCGGTACCTACTATACGTCTTTTTTATATGTTATCATTTTTATTCCACTGACTTTGACTTTTGGCTGCAATCGATTTTTTAAACTTATTGTTTTTAATTGAGTAAGGATGACACGAGCACACAGTTCACCTGATGGTAAATAGATGCTGTCGCCCATACACATCTACATTTATCCTCATATATTTTATATAACAGGCCAAAGTTGGAGAGAAGGTTCAGAATAAGTAATATAGGCAAATAGTGAAGAAAATTTATTAAAAAAAATCTCAAACATTCTGTTCTTTTTATCTTTTAAATTCAAAATGCGTGGTAATTGCATTACTTTAAGGCGTTTCCCTGACCAAATAACCTTGAGTATGCAGTGCACTGCCGCCCGCACTCTGTGTACGCCTATTTATCATAGAATTCGCACCATTTTTGGAATTAATTTTAATTAAAAAAGAAAAAAAGAAATTTAAAAATTCAATAAAACGTGAATAATAAAGATTTTTAAATTATCTATCCATAAGTGTTATTCTGAAATGATTAGAGCGTTGCCTTTAGCAACAGTTGCATGTAATCAATAATTTTAGTCATTTTTATATAACATATAAAAACAAATTAGAACGTGGAATGTGGTGATAGGATATTGAAGATTAATAATATGCTTTTAGATATAGTATATCTCTCATAAATAATGAGATAATAGTGTCTGAATAACGAAGAAAAACGCACTATCGCAAGGTTTTGGTCGGGGTATCGCCTTAACTGATTTTACTGCGCACAAACACATTCGTAAGGATCGATCGGTCGGCAAAAACGTTGTTGCCCATACATCACATTAAATTTGGGATAATTTCAAATAAAAAGAAGCCTTATTTACTCGTATTTCCATTACTGTTTTTCCTTACCACCGAGCACGTGGTAAATCAGCACTGAACAATTTCATTGGTACCGACGGGAATCGATCCGGGTTGCTGGTGTACTATGAAATTTACAGCGAACGATTAGCTTTCTGACCTATGGTTCTTGGATCTAAAACTATCTAATTCAGATAGGAATACGAACACGTATATTCAATCTATACTATATGCAATGTTAACAAGCAGATGATGGAGGTACGGGAAGGCAAACCGGAGGTGTTGTGCCGCGTGTGTGGCGACAAAGCTTCCGGGAAGCACTACGGAGTGCCCTCGTGCGACGGCTGCAGAGGCTTCTTTAAGAGAAGCATTCGGAGGTAAACAATGTCTAAATCAATTTATTGTCCATGGTGAAAGTTAGTGTTGTATACCTTTATACAGTGCTCTATAACTTATAACACTGTTTGTTAGATAAAATATTGAAATGTTATTTTTAAAGTACTCGTAAACACTAGTAACCCTATTACCGTTACTAATATTTCCATTCAAGTAAGTTTAAAATGTGTAGGAGTGGTTCACGTGACAGTATAATAGTGAAATGGCGGATTCAAACCCCCGACTTTTCCAAGTTTGCAGTCCGCTCTCTTAACCTTTAGACCGCTGTCGCTTAATAATTATTCTACAATTGCTATTACATACATAAATTGCACGTGAGCAAATATACATCGCCGGAAAAAATATTTGTGGACCACAAAAAATAATAATTTAAAATTTAAAATTTTGTACTGCCGACTTCAATATAAGTTATTAAGATTAACTCAAAAACTATTAGTCTGACCATGATCAAATTCATATGGGACCACACGAGAAGTACCAGATTTAAAATAAAAAGGAATCATCGAAATCGGTTAACCCAGTAAAAAGTTATGAGCTAACTCACATAAAAAACCATACAGTCGAATTGAGTACCGTCTCCTTTTTGGAAGTCGGCAGAAAATAAAACTTGTTCGGGAATTGAACACATCGCGTGGTGCTGCAGCGAAACATTTATATACTTTGCGCGTTAAGGTAGCAGTACACGTTGGCCGAACGCGCTCGCCGAGTGCGTTCTGCCAACGTGTACTGGGCCGTTTTGTGTGTATTTGGCGTTTGCGGCCAACACTCGCCGACAAGCCGTATAGTGTCGGTTTTCCGTGGACAAATCAAAGGAGCAAGCCGCAAATAGCGATCACACGTTGGCCGAGTGTTAAGTTCATAGTTACGCTTTACGGCTTAATAAAATTATTTCACGAACATGGCGACATGGCCTAATGAGGAAATATTTAGGTTCATTGATTCTTATCACAATGAATCAATTATATGGAACCCCAAACATGAGCAAAATAAAAATAAGGCCGCGATCACTAACGTCCATCATCATCTAGCTACCAACGCAGAATGAAGCACGCCAACGTGTGAACGGCACCACAAAAATCTGCCGAGCGGGCTCGCCAAGTGCGCTCGACCAACGTGTACTGAAGCCTTTACGCGTGTAAGACTGCCCATCACAATACGAACTACATGATTTATATTTTAAATGCTATTCTCTATACATCTTTGTGTCTATCCGCATGGTCCTCGGATCATGAAATTTTGCCAATTAATTTGTAGGAATTTCATTTTAATTAGTTTTAGATTTTTTTAATCACTAAATCTTACTATCTTACTCGTCAACAAAGTTATTGAAAAAAGATAAAAAGGGAACCGTAATAGAATTATTTTTAATGATGTAATTTTCGCGGGTTCGAATCCCGCACGGAACAAGTATTTGTATGGCCTACAAATAATTGTTCCGAGTCTGGATATTTGTCCTTGTGCTATTTGTGTTTGTAAACTGCCTCCACGATACAGGAGAAAATCCTAGGGTGGAGGTTACGTTTTCTGTAAAAAAAAAAATGATAGACCTACCTAATAATATAATACCCCCACGGTAAAGTTTTTTTTTAAAGAATAAAAATTAGTAGTACGTGGTACGACTCATTTTGTGTTGAGAACTCCGCCAGGGTAGGTCAATTTTATCCCCGGGGAAAGGAGAAAATGTTTATCCCCTCGCTTAATTTTATCCACCCTTCGAGCATGGGCACACCGGCCGATACAACATCCACAGTAGATAAAATAGGAGATAGCTTTAGATAGATTTTTTGTATGAATATAAACTTAAACCCACGTCCAATTAACTTGGATAAAATTGTCCCTTTCAAATATCAAAAAAGCATAATTTTTTATCTCTTTCATTTGGCTCCATGCTACGGACGGAGCTTTGGCATGGGGACAAGATAATTTTATCCCTTGTTAGTGGATAAAATCGGTGGATAAATTTTTTGTCCCCGGCCGTGCTGCCGGCAAATAGCACAGAAACCCCTACTAGAAACGTGTTTTACGATGGTACGGAACCCTTCATGCGCGAGTCCGACTCGCACTTACCCGGTTATTTCGATTACAGAAACTTGGACTATGTATGCAAAGAGGGGGGCCGGTGCGTTGTGGACGTGAGCCGGAGGAATCAATGCCAAGCGTGTCGCTTTTCTAAATGCCTTCGAGTCAACATGAAGAAGGAAGGTGAGTGCCGTTTAATATGGTATAATAGTTTAATAACAGCACGGAATTATAAAAGTATAAACCCCAAAATATAACAAAAACCACTGAACGTTATCTTACTAACACGTACTTGAGACGCATCGTCTTCTTCATCAGATCGTAAAAGTCCACTGCTGAACATGAGCATCTCGTGGTAGGGAGAATTTGCGTTACGTACACGCTTGGCAGGCAAATTAGCCTGTATAATCCATAGATTATACAGGCTATAGCATCTGTGCATGGCGTCTGGCGTAAACATTGGTTATACCGCTATCCACCAGGAGCCATGAAGCTATTTTTAGGGTTCCGTACCTCAAAAGGAAAAAACGGAACCCTTATAGGATCACTTTGTTGTCCGTCTGTCTGTCTGTCTTTCTGTCTGTCTGTCAAGACCCTTTTTCTCAGGAACGCGTGGAGGTATCAAGCTGAAATATCAAATACTCAAGTCTACTGTCCCTTAGAGCTGTGAAAAAATCAAACTTCTAAGCCAACGCAATCAAAAGATACAGCCGTTTATGGCGTAAATTTTCGACATTCGCAAGGGAATCAAAACCTACAGGGTACTTTCCGTGAACTCAGAATCTTGAAATTTGGTACGAAGCAACGTTTTATAGCAGAGGTAAAGGAAAAATTGCGAAAAGCATAAATTTTTAGTTACATCATGTAATAAAAATATTTTTAATAATTTTAAACTTATATACCTACAGATTTGTTCTGAACCCTCGGTGCGCGAGTCCGACTCGCACTTTGCCGTTTTTTTTTTCAATATCTTCTACAGCCCCCTCTTATAATACCATGGGACTACAACGGACAACGGGGAATGCATAATAAAACGCAATTAAACAATACGTTACTAACATTTCAAATGACTACAAAATAAACTTATAAATATTTTATGTCAATTCCTCCAGTTTTGCCTGCACTGCCTTTTTTCACACTTTTTCTCGTAGTTTTTTTTTAATATGCCATGTAGTGGCGGTGTCCACTACTCCATATCATCCCGCGAGTGTTGTAAAAAGCGACACATGAAACAAACCATTAGATGGACATCATCGCAACAACTAAAAAATAAAACATAAATTGCGGTTGCCAACTTGCCTGCCAAGTGTGGCAACTATGGTAAATGAAGCAATCTATAAAGGAGGCCTCTATTAATTAGTAAACGTTTTTAGGCCTGACAGTAACAGTATCATTTTTTGTAACCTTTGCACTCCTCTCTGTTTTAATACAAGATAGAAATGCATTTTGTTAGATTGCGATTTTTTTATAATTATGAAACAAATAATTTTGATTCATGAAAACCAAGGATAATTCAAAGAGATAGGTACACTCACCTGGTACTCTTTACAGAAAAACATAACAACAGATATAAACTAAAAACAATCAATTTGTAAGTTGTACAAATATTGAATTCAAAATATCGTAATTAATCTTTCACTGACGACGTAAACTATTATCTTGATAATAAAAAACATGTTCTAGTTGTTTTTATTGACTATAGTAAAGCGTTCGATACTCTAAGGCATGATTTACTGATTGAAAGACTTGATGAATGTGGACCTCGAGGACCCCTTCTGAATTGGTGCAAAGATTACGTTAAAGAGAGAGCATATAGAGTTAAAGTGGGAAATGCTACAAGTATAAAGCAAACCGTCACCCAAGGTACCGCCCAGGGCTCTGTGCTTGGGCCTTTGCATTACTTGACTTATGTAAATAATGTTGTCAATGTCATTAAAAACTGTAAGATCTATCAGTTTGCAGACGATACCTGCTTATTAGCGGCGGAGAACGACATAAATGTGGCATTACAGAAATTGCAAGAGGATTTCAGCAACCTTATGAAATGGTCTCACGATGCAGGACTAATTCTGAACGCCACCAAAACAAAATTGATGTACATTTCGTCCAGTCGAAATAGAGTATCCGTTCCATTAAAACTCATTGCCCACAGCCACCAATGTCTTCATAATAACATGTCTAACCATACATGTATCGATATAGTAGAACAACAACCTTACCTTGGACTCATAATAGACAGTCGATTTAAATGGACGCACCATATTAATAAAGTGTGTGATAAGTTAAGGGCCATACTTGCCAAATTTTCTATAATTAATTTTTTTTTTTATAGGATAAGGGTGACAAACGAGCACACAGTCCACCTGATGGTAAGTGGTTGCTGCGGCCCATAGACATCTACATCTATCCTCGTTTGTGAATCAAAATGCAGATGCGTTGTCACCCGTGAGGACTAAGATGGAATGCCTCATTTCCAGTAAAAAGGGCCTCCGGCCACCTGCACTCACCAAGCGAAACGCAGAGGTAAACCTCTACTTCACGCTGGTTTTTTGTGAGGTCGTGGTACCACCCCGGTTCGAGCCGGCCCATCCGTGCGACAGCAGAAGCTGCCGCGTGGCTCTACCACTGTTTAAAAAATATAAAGTTCCCTATCCTATACTGTTATCCCTTTACAAGGCTCTGGCCGAATCGATAATACATTACGGTTTAAGTAGCTATGGTAGAACCTGTAAATCGCATCTTTATAATATCCATGAATTACAGCTTAGAATCATCAAAACAATTGTCCCACCTAAAATCAAACAACAATATAAGGATAACTACAACAAATTATTTAAATTTTGCGGTATTCTGCCTATTGAAGAAAAACTAAAACTTACCTTACTTGTTGAACAGTTCTTTAATACAAAATTGCAAGTCCTACCAATGTATAAACACCAGCTTAGAAGTATATATAACCCTAAATTAATTATAGCTGAAACACAAAATATATATGGAGATCATCAAAATAAGATCATTATTCCTAAATTAATTAATAAACTACCTAAAACCTTAAAGGAAGATATCAATCCTAAAAATATTAAAAACAAATTAAAAACGTACTTTATGAATCAACTAATATAATAACTAACATAATATAACTAAAACTAATACTATATACTATATACTATTATATATGTATACTAATTGTAATATAATTACTATATTTATATTTCAAAAATATAAAAATATTTTTTCCTCTGAACAACCTGTATACTACAACTCATCCTCACGTTATTGTTATAGAAGCGAGCGAACTACCTTCTTACTCTAAATAATATTAAAATGTTTACGCTCAAAAGACGGCGAACTGCAGTGTGCAGAAAAATCTTATATGGGTTTATGTTGCACTGTACTTATGAACTGTGTATAATATGTATTTTTGTTGTTGTAAAATAAATAAAATAAATAAATAAATATATAATAGCTGGCCAGGCAGACGTTGTTCTGCGCTCTTCGAAGACCCTGTGTCCTATAAAAATTCTTAAATTCGTAGTAAAAAATATTGAGGGTCACTTATATGGATAAAAACTATCCTATCTCTCAAGTTGGACCAAACTGCACACAGTATGCAAAATTTCATTGCAATCAGTTTAAAAGTTTAGGAGTTCATCGCGAACAAACAACGTGACATGTAATTTGTCTGCCGACTTCCAAAAAGGAGACGGTACTCAATTCGACTGTATGTTTTTTTTTATGTGTGTTACCACTTAACTTTGTACTGGGTGAACCGATTTCGATGATTCTTTTTTTATATGAAAGCTGATAGTTCTCGGGTGGTCCCATATGAATTTGATCAAGGTCAGACCAATGGTTATTGAGTTATTCTTAAATAACTTATATTGAAGTCGGCTGTACAAAATTTTTAATTTTTAATTATATAATATATAAAGATTATAAATCATCGTAAGACGCGACAGGCGGAAATTGAAACAGTAGATGGGCGGCAACATCTCCCTGATGACAGCTCAAAATATTTAAAAAAACTGAGGTTTCCAACTCGCCTACCAACTAACTGAAGCCAATTTCTCTTCTATGAGGCTTTCTATAGCGAGGTCTGTTTGCCATCCATCATAAGTCCACACTGCTGAACATGTGTCTAAAAATCTATTATTCAAGGTGTCCAACACACGAATAGTATAATCAAGCAAATTGTGACAAATTGAGCGGAAAAAATCAATAGGCGACGTTCAAGCACTCGTCTCAAATAAAGTATTTATCCAGGCTGCTTCTTCGCAGCATGTCTTTTCCATTAGTCGACATCTGAAGTATTTGCGGTACACGAGTGTCAGTAAGTGGCGAGTGATAAAAATCGTGGGAGGGACGCGATGGATTTCATCTGCACTCCGCCACTCGCACCTTGTATGTTCACACGAGGGTAAACATATTGCGGTGTCAGATATTATGGCGTAACCTTTGAGCTTTTGTCTTGGAAAAACGTTTTTTTTAATTTTATTTTTACTTCCTCTTTAATATTTTAATTCTATGTTTTATTCATGTATAAAGATACAGTTTCTTATATTTCTAATCAGTACTTAAATATACAGATAAGTATTTTAGGAAACCTATTGTGATCGCGTTCTTTTAAATTTAAGTTTTACAAACTGTCTCACTTGCTTCTTCAAACTATATGACATATTTTAACTTATTTAATCAAAGTCGGTTACTTTAATAATAACATCATAATTATTGAATAAAACTATTTTTTTACGGATTTTATCGCGTTTAGTAAAGCACCCGAAACGTCGGGAATTAAAATAGTAAATTAAACGCGATAAAATACGTAAAAATTGTTTAATTCAATGTGTAGTGTTCACGTAAATATAAGAAATCATAACATCATAGGTAATTATCTAGAACGTCACCCGAGATAGAAGACATATTGATCACGAGATTATCATTATACCTATTTCCTTTATGTAAGTGTATTTATTTCGCAAAAGAGTACTGTCATCCACAGCCCCACAGCCCACAGCAATTTATATTTACATACGTCGATGCGGCTGTGACAAGTAACAACGAAACCCTAATAGACATGTTTGAACGACACTTGTGATTTTAGCCGCGACATTATGATTGTGCAATTATTAAAGGGCGCAAGCAGATACTAATCAATGATATCATTTCAAATAGGGTATAATATAATTTGTATGCTTTATTTGAATAAATAAAACATTATTTTTCATTGTTGTTGTAAAATTTACACGTATATTTACTTTAAATAAACGTACATACAACATGCCGATATAAATGCTGGTGATGCGGGACCGTGTTTAACAGTCGGGTTTTGGGTACATACGTACGTACGTACAACATAGGCCATGTTCAGCAGAGACCATGAGACGATGATTATGATGAATCAGAATTATTAAGTGGATATGGTGGCCCATAGATATCTACATTTATTCTCGACCTCGTTTCCAGTAAGAAGAGTATCCGGTTCCCTTCACTCACCATACGAAACACAGCAGTGTTAAGCTGTTATTTTACGCTGGTATTCTGTGAGAGCGTGGTTCTACACCGCCCGAGCCGACCCATTAATGCTACTACCATAATATAGCTGCAGCGTTGCTACACTTCGTATAAAATAAAATAAAAATTTTGTTCCCTAAAATGCACCTTTTTGAAAAATATCGCGAGGCACGCGCCGCTGATTCTAGCCGTCTCTAAACAAAGTACGCCGCCACCGAGGTACAATTGGGTACAACCCGCAAATGATATATGTACTTAGTCATTTTGTGAGTTTGTCACTTCGATCAACAAGTTGATCGAAGGTTTGTCATTTCATGTTAGTTCAGTTAGTTTGTATTTGTTGTATTAATGTGTACGTAGAAAATATGTTTTTTCGCCCCTGGGAGGATAAGGAGTTTCCTCGGGAGGAGATTCCCAGTGTTTATGTAGTGTGAACAAAAAGATTCAAACTTGTAAACAATTAATCGGCAACATTTCATATACTTACTTTACGTATGCAAATTATTAAAATCTAGTCTAGTTACACCTAAAATACCGGGACAACCTTTATCCCAAAAGAACAATAAGACTTTCGAAATCGGACGATATGAATGTAATTTAGCATGTCGCTAACCGCGTAGTGGCACTACCCATATCGTCCCTAGGGTGTACTAACAGCTGACAGAGGGAATAATGAAACATATGATAGTAGCATCATCCTAAAAACAACTTAACAATATAAAAACTTCAGTTGTCAACCCGCCCACCAAGCGCGGCAACAATGTTGAAATCTCTCCTTAGAGGCAATCTGCGAAAGAGTTCTATATACAGCAGTGGACTTTTATAGGATGTAATGGTTAGAATGTCACATATGTATACATATTTCATACCAATAAAAAACTTTTGACTTACTAAGAAATGTGCCATCTACGAGTATATTATTACTATTTTACAGCGGTACAACACGAGCGAGCACGTCGCCCCGCACTCACCGGTCAACACCAATTCTCGCTGCAGAAAATTGGCTACAACTTCGCAAGACATCCGAACTTATTCCACTCCGCTCCCCTTACTGTATCAACATTTCCATCCCTACATCCTTATAACCCGATTGCCTCGACTGACGCCCGCAATCCGAATTGCTTCTTAGAAAACTCCTTCCATGAATTCTCAAGATTTCCCGACTCTTTACCTCCGGACATCCAGTTGAGTCCACTTCTAAGCACTCAAGTTGGCTCACTAAACTCGCTCAATCCATTCAAAATCCCGCTGTTTCCCACTTCCCTGCACTACCCAACGCACGGCGGCTATTTCCCGACAAATATTTTCTATCCTCCCGTCGCGTCGGGTAATTCAACGACACATTTAGAGACGCGAAGCAATAGTGAGTACACAGTATATCAAGCCGAGTATTTTGTATGGCGCGTTCTTGTGTGGAAGGATGTAATTTAACGTAAGGACTATTTAATTTGCAATGCTCTTTCTATTTGCGCTTAGTCAAAAAGTTTAAGATAATTTTTATGATCATAGAACATATTGAAGAAAAACAAAATTACGTACTCCGAAAACTTAAACTTTGATAAAACCATTAAATAGCGAACGCTTTCTACATATATATGAATCATTTGTAACTATAGATTAAGTAGCTACGCGAATAGGGTTTGTTTTTCAACAAAATATCACACATAATGTTGATTTCAGGACCCATTATTGATAGAGTTGCTTCGCCCAAGTTTCATCAGACACTTCAAGATGAAACGGCTAAGCCGGACTCACAGCTTCCTGATAAAATAAAAGAAGACGAGGTATCCAGCTCTGAGGAGGCTTGCAAAACTGACAGTCCAGCAATAGAAGTCAAAATCGGTAAGTTATCGCGGTAGATGAACTTGTAACAAAACAGTAAACACTAACGAACAAACTACATTCTATACGAAGGAACGAGCGAACATAACTAAAATGAATTTATTTTTGAAAAGTAGGTAACATACCAAAAGTTTTCTACTATTCGATTACTTTTTGTTCTTAAGCGAATTGAGGATTTTATGATTTTTAACATAATTTGAATTTTGTATAAATTTAATTTAATTTGTATTCGGTTCATTGTGTTTTGTCATTTGTTTTATATGAGATAGGAAGTTTTGCGAATGTCATTTCATGAGCTAAGCGATTTCCGTTTTTTTTTTTAATAATTAGTAATACAAATATATCACAATTTTTCCCTATCCTATATCACGTAGATCCAAGGAATGAAATGCACTCTCCGAACAACTACGAACCACCTGCGTATTATGTAACGAAGAAAATGGACAAGCTAGTATATAATTTGGATTCAGCAAAGAGTAGGACATTCGGACACACGTCGGAAAGGGAAAAGACAATGCAGCAGGCAGAGAGCACAAAATGTTCCGAGGACAAGCTGCAACCTGAACACAAAAACAACGGATCTTCGCTTAGTCAAAGTATACACGACCCATCGACTAAACTGCTGGTAGCGACAGTGAAATGGCTGCACAGTGTCGTAACGTTTCAACAGATGAAAGCTCATGATCAGAACCTGTTGCTGTATAGCAACTGGAGGGAGCTATTTGTTCTAACAGCCGCACAGTACTCTTTCTACTTTGATGAAGGTAAGGCAACGTGTTTAAATCAATGATATTCTTTATAGGATACGTTACATGCCTACTAAACCACCAAAAGATGTTCAGAGCCGAGCCGCTCACACAGACAGCGGCAGCACACACACATTCAAAGTCTATTGTTGTCCTTTTCTTTAACCTTACGTAATCATGTATTAAATTTTATAAAACATAATAAAATCGGCTTACTTAATTGTGATATAATATTCCGACAGAGGGCCGGAGTGGCTAATTGAACACTTTTCGACGCTTCAGTTTTGACGTACTAGTAACGTATGTACCTTTATTTTCTATATACTTGGTCGGGTCATAAGTTCTGTCAAAACCTTATTATTTAATATTTTTGAATACTGGCTAGATGAACTTCACCAGTTTTAGAAGTATAACGTTTGCGCTTGCCAAAAATAAAAAGACATTAATTTTCATTAATTTTCAAATATGGAGTGGTCGAAGAAAGAAGATAGAGTAGCGGTTATCGCCTTACACCGCTGTGGTTACGCGCCAAAAGAGATTTTCAATATTCTACAAAAATTGAAAATAACCCTAACGTTTGTTTATCGCACTACCAAACGATTCACGAAAGATTCAAACTTTGAAGATCGTAAGAGGACCGGCCGACCTCGTACAGTTAGGACACCCGCAATCATCAAAGCAGTGAAGGCGCGAATCCAACGAAATCCTGGTTGTAAACAATAAATCATAAATCTTCAGATGGGCCTAAGCAGAAGCACGGTCAAAAGAGATCAATGAAGACCTAAGACTACGAGCTTATCGTAAGAAAACCGGACATTTTTTGAACGAGCGTTTGAAAAAAATTAGGCTGGATAGATCCCGCGCTTTGTTACGGCGGTACGCGGGAAAAAAATGCCGCGAAATTTTGTTTTCGAATGAAAAAAATTTTAACATCCTAAGAAACATACTGGAACCTCTTTCTCAAACAATGTTCAAAAACAGACATTGGATGTTCCAACAGGACTCTGCACCAGCTCATAGGGCACGAAGCACGCAAAACTGGTTGACCGCGCGTGGAATTGACTTTATTGGACATGAAGAATAGCCCTATTCTAGTCCAGATTTAAACCCACTGAATTACAAGATATAGCTACATTTGGAGGAGAACGTCTGCGCTAAACCTCTACAGAATTTGGAATCCCTCCAAGCATCTTTGGCTAAAGCAGCGGCAGTAATAGATATGAATGGTAGTACGTGCTGCGATTGATGATTGGCCGCGTCGATTAAGGGCATGTATTCAAAATAGGGGAGAGCATTTTGAATAATGTAAATAAAATTGTATTCTTAATTAAATTACCTTTCATTTCCTATATAATTATCAAAGAGTGTATCATCTTTATATATAAAAATTACGTGTCACGTTGTTTGTCCGCGAATCCGCGATGGACTCCTAAACTACTGAACTGATTTCAATGAAATTTTGCACACTGTGTGCATTTTGGTCCAACTTGAGAGATAGGATAGTTTTTATCCCGATAAATGACCCTCAAATTTTTTTATTGCGTATTTAAGGATTTTTATAGGAAGAGTCGCTGGAAAGGGCAAAACAACTCCTGCCTGGCCAGCTAGTTATTTGATAAAAAGTTTTTGACAGTTTTGACCTGACTAAGTATATATACATACCATTAGTTTAAATTGTAGATATTTAGGAGCTTATATTTAGTACTTAGTTTTAAAAATCAGTGTCACAGTTCTGATTGATTAAGTTGAAATTAATTGAATCAGTGTCACTTTTCTGATTCAATTAAATTCAACTTAAATAGCACGCACTGATGATGAGATAACTGTGACAGACGGCGATACTTGAATGAGAATGAGGTGAAATATTAGACAGATTTCATAAAGAGAAAGTGAAATTGTTAGGAAAAATATAAATTTTAATATTCCTTCCTACAATATTAGTTGTATTTTCTGCCGACTTCCAAAAAGGAGACGGTACTCAATTCGACTGTATGTTTTTTTATGTGTGTTACTTCATAACTTTTTACTGGGTGAACTGATTTCGATGATTCTTTTTTTATTTGAAAGCTGGTACTACTCGTGTGGTCCGACAAATAGTTTTTGAGTTATTCTTAATAACTTTTATTGAAGTCGGCTGTACAAAATTTTAAATTTTAAATTAATTAATTATATATTAATTAGATAACAGTGGGAAAACCAAACTACGGATATCCCTAAACTTGTATAATATATAGAGGTCAGTGTCCATAAAAGATATTCCTAAAAGAATTAAAACAAAGTTAAATGTGCAAAAACTTAAAGGGCAACTACTGACGCATTGTTTGGCGTAAGTTAATAATTTTATACGCTAGAAACCGACAAACTTTTATTAGAAACGGAACTATTCCCTTATAGTCTCGCTGTGTATATTATCTTCACCTCAGTCCTAGCTACCACTAGCGACATCTGGTGAGCGGTAAATTATTAGCCCCCATTTTATTGTCATTGGTTGTTAATATGTCAACAGAATTGCAGAATATGCAAACGTCTGGAAGTACTAGGTGAATACTGAATTACATAATAACATTACACTCATACATTGATACATACAGGTCAAATTGCAAACAGCTCAAATAAAGCGTGTAAAAGGGTCTTCGGCTCTCGTCACTTACCATACAAAATATAGCAACAATATCCGGATACTTGTATTTTCTTGGAACGGATAAATCCGACAGAGACCATCCATGCTGCAACAATGACTTAGCAGTAGCGAAATTCAACCTTGTTATCCATTAATGAATATTAAATCAATATGCACATTTATGTTAAGTATCTGTTTCTGTTGCCCACCTAATAAACTATACTATAGAATATAATATATAGAATATCTACCTGTTTATGTAGCTTTTTTACATTGCAATTTCCTCCTTCTCAGCCAATAAAACATGCGGGTGGTCAAAGAATTCAGGTGGCTCAGGACCGTGTTTAGGGACATTCCTTGGGGAGGCTTAAGTTCAGCAGAGAAATTGTGAATGGCTGTAATGATGATAATGATACAATAAAACAAGTCTTACACATTGAATGAAACTATTTTAACGGTTGTTATTACTTTTAATAACAAACTTTTATATTACTTAAATCATATATTTTTATTTTACGACATATAGCTAATGTGGAAGTCAGCAGACATATTCAGTACGAGTATCGTCTTTAGATATAAAATTTAATGAAACATAACGAATCCTTACAAAAATTACGTGAGGATAAACAAATAAAAAATAATGAATGTCTAGGCTAAGCTGTTATTATCCGCTTGAAATTCCATTAGCAATAAATTGAAATTTCAACCCATGAACACCAGTCCAAGATTTCAAGATATTGTAAGTTCATTTAGTGTATATCGAACATAATACTTATGAATGAAAATAGGACGACACATCACAGTATCCTCTGCCTGCCCTATGAAAAAATTTACTCAAAACGTTGAGAATGTAAAAATATGAATAAATAAATTTAACGCGACAGAATCCCTCAAAATAGTTTTTATTATCATTACATCCATTCACACACAGGTCCACTACTGAACATAGGCCTCGCCCAAGAAATGCCACAGTTTTATTCAGTGTATTTACGACGGAATTTTTGTAAATCTTGAAATTTCTGTAAATCTTTACATTTTCTACGGCATGCGGTCGAAAACTAAAAATAATTCATTATAATATGATAAACATATCTATCGTCACACTTGTATACCTACATTTTTGCAGAGCACATGGCCACAGACATTTTGCAAAAACAACCCACGATCAAGGAGGAGTTAAAGAAATTGATATCGTTGTTAAACAAAATAGCAAAGTGTCGGTTGGACAGAACGGAGTTCGAATGTCTGAAGTCAGCGCTATTGTTTCGAACAGGTAATATACGTATAAATTATATTTTGATCTGTCTGTCCGTCTATCTGTTCGGGCTAATCATACGGTTATCTGAACCTATTGTGATAAAATTTTATGAACAGATTCGAAAATATGCAATTTTTTGTAACATTAAAAAATCTGTTAAAACAAATAAATGGTTTTTGAAGATTATCTCTTAAACTATAAGATATATTAATAAAAGATTCGTACAAAACTTCTTAGGTTTCCAATTTACACAATAAAATTCCTTACACTTTGTCTTCTATTTCTTAGTTTTAATTTTTTTTTATAGTATAAGAGTGACAAACGAGCACACAGTCCACCTGATGGTAAGTGGTTGTTGTGGCCCATAGACATCTACATCTATCCTCGATTGCGTTTCAAAATGTAGATGCGTTGTCACCCGTGCGGGCTAAGACGGAATGCCTCGTTTCCAGTAAAAAGGGTCTCCGGATCTCTACATTCACCATGCGAAACACAGCAGAATTGAGCTGCTATTTCACGCTGGTAATCTGTGAGAGCGTGGTCCTTCCCCAGTCGCGCCGACCCATTCGTGCTACAACCATAATATAGCTGCAGCATGGCTCTACCACGTATCTCGTCAGCCAGCGCGGATAATCCGTGTGGTGCGGATAAAATCAGCACTGAAGCGTTGATGGAATCAACACTGGATAAACTAATGAAAATCAGTACTTAATCAAAGACATGAGAAATCCGCCAACACACAATGGAAAAGCGCTGCGGAAATGTCCTTGCCATAAAACCCTCTCAGAGATGAGAGGAGGCCTGTGCCCAGCTGTGTGATGTATATAAGCTGTGACTTCACTTTACTTTTATTAATTTTGCTTTACTTTAGTTTTTAATAACAAAAATTAAAGCTAGGAAAATATAGCAGGATTAATTTTTCAGACTCATTGGATGTCCCTGCTTCAAGTCGAATAGAGATTCTGCAAGACCAAACTTTGCTTACTCTCCAAAAGTACTGTTCTACCAAAGACGCAAATCGGCTTGGGCGGCTGATGTTATTATTGCCCAGTGTGTGCTGTATTGCTTGTCAAGGATTATTAGAACATATGTTATTCCCCTCTGCCTCGGAAGATGAAATCCACGCGACGCTGTCAAGAATTCTTATCTATACATCTATTTAAACCATTGTTATTATTTAGAAAGATTACTGTCAATACGTGTCAATACCACTTAATCCAAAAGCTGTTGCTATTCTGAAATAAGTCAAAACCAACAGTAAAGAATTAAATCGATCAACTATTTTCTTTTATGTCCTTATAATAAATATGTAAATTAAAACATGACTGCCCTTATCTCGTAAATAGTTCACTTAATCTAGGCTTCTCTGACTCTTATGCTTGAGTAGTAAGCATTGGTTTGTATTTATTTTCTATATCTGGACTATATTTGTTATAATTCCTATCGCAGCTTACATTCAATAATATGGAAACAAACCTGTATTATTTACTACGTGATAAGACTCCTTTTCTGCCTAAGAGTCCGCCTGGGTAAGTGCCATCCTCGTACTTACATCTGCCGCCAAATAGTGCTTGCACTGCTGTATTTCAGTCTAAGGAATATATTAGATTCTTACAAATGAAATTGGCGTTTTGTCAACTGGCCACTTTATTCTCAAATACCGACAGGTTAGAATTCCAAATTTAAATTTATTTCAAATATAGGCATGAATTTCGAATTTAGTGAACCATTTGTTTTCGCGCCATATGATTTTTCATTGACATCGTTCTGTTCACAATATGGAAAACTTTTAATATAATGTTCATTTACGAATACAAGTTCCACCTTGGCACTTGGTATATACGTTGGAAGGATTAATGATGTGTATGGGGAAACTAATTTCAAAAAAAATACGGTACGTTTTTTGGTTACACCGTTTTCGTTCTGGATATTTTGATCTACAGAACAAACCCCGTGGACGGCAAGGATTAAAAGTGATCGTGGAAGCGCATCCATCACAAACCACGACAGAGTTAACGGCAGGCAAACAATTTTATTTCACTTGAAACAAATTATAAAGTGAAAAAGCTCGCTAAATCAAATCTAAAACCGCATGAATTGAGTGAAGCACACCAACAAACACGCGTCGAGTGCTGCGTTATATTACTCAACCGTCACAATAACGAAGATATTTTGAATCGTTACTTGTGATGAAAAATGGATACTGGATACTGTACGATAATCGGAATCGCTCACGATAGTGGTTGAACCCAGGAGTACCGTCCAATTTCTGCTTCAAGCAAAAGTTGACTCAGAAAAAGATCTGGTGAACCAGTGCTGGTGTCATACACTACAGCTTCCTAAAATCTGACCGGACGATTATGGCAGATCAGTATTGTCAGCAATGGCAAACTATGATGGAAAAACTAGCCGTTAAACATACCAAAACTGGTCAATTGCTCTAGTCCACTGCTGCTTCAGGACAACACTAAACCACACACTGCATAACAGACGGTCGCTAAATTTGAGAAGCTACGACTGAAATGTCTCCGATACCCACTATACTCACCATATACCTTGCTCCAACAGATTACCACCACTAAGAAAAAAAAATCAAGTCCAATGAGGCACTCAAAACCGCCTTCAAAGATTTTATTGATTCTCGCTACAACATTTTTTCACATTACTAATCAATGAAGTACCTATAAAATGACGAAAGTGATAGTATAGATAACAATGGTTCATACTTTGGTTAAATAGATAATTTCATATATTTTTCTCGTTTTGTTTTTCCATATAAAACGCCAATGTCATATCTAATGACCTAATAAAGAGCGAGTATAATCAAAGTTCAAAGGCTGTGAGGACGCGTCACGGAATATAAACAACAACTTGTTTTCTATATTCCGTGGGACGCATCTTGTAGTCTTCATTATTTGAAGTTGGCCACAGGTTTCCATGAACTGCATTAGTCACTAACCATCGGGTGGACTGTAAGTTCCCGTATATACGCTCTTTTTTTTTAAATCTTATCTCTACATATAATAAATCTGTAGAAAAATTGGAGTTTTGGCGGGAACTTGACCGGCGACGGATTGCTGCTCCTGTATTATTGTTTAAATAATGGTTTGAACTGGATTTTGATGTGTAAAAGTGTTGCGATTTTGTGTATTAAATGTCTACGCATATGAACTATTAGTGGAAACTGTGAAACAAGTGCTCTGATGGTGATGTGATTCTCAAAATAAGGTGTCTGTCTGCGTAGGTGCCTTGAGATACCATCGCGAACCGTCAGCTTTCTGCTGGCTCAAGTTGCCGTCAAAATCTCCCAAGGGCTGCACAATGTGACGCATCAACATATTTTGAAGCAGTATACTATGAAGGATAATTACAATATATTGTAACTTCAGGCTCAGAAGGGCTAGATCCCAGAGCCGTAAAGCGAGTTATTAAAAAAAATGTAGAAAAATTGTGTGTTCACAATTCACGCATAAGGCAGTAAATAACCGTGCATACTCGTAACATATAGGCTATTTATATCCGCTTTCGGAGAAATAAAAAAGGGGTTATGTTTTTCCTTTTTTTTAAGTTTATTGTCATTATGGTTGGTGATGGTTCTTTTAGTCCTAAAGAAGATTTATGCGCATGTAAGTATAATAAATATATAGAAAAGTGTGTGTGGTGGGAGGAGGGGGGGGGGGGGGGGGAATGAAACTCGTGCAACCAACCAGTAAGGGAATAACGTCTGCCGAGCCAGCTAGTCTATGACTAAGTTCGTTTGTCACTTCAGTTTATATACCTACTTTTTTAGCCAGTTTATAGTTACTGCATTTGCAGTAAAAACCTCAGATTAACTCAACGTACGTTTTTTGTTTCCATAATTTATGAATTTCATACCTTAATTTATCATACTTTTGATAAATTAAGGTATGTACAGGAGGAGTACCTATTAATATTTTTTTTCTCCATAGTGAATATTAATAAGTATTTCCCCTTGATTACATCGCCGTTCATAATAACTTTGACCGTAATCGCCACGACTGCAGACGATTTAGCAATCGTAGTAGCAATACCTACTAATAATGAATAATATATATTTGTTGAATATTCTAGCAAACCCTGACATGAATAGACCAGACATGAATAGAAACTGATATAATATAAATTTAATGAACGTTCACAAGGTTTGTGATGTAGAAATAAACACTAAAACAATTTTTGGAAATTGAAATTCGTTTGAAAATTGGTAATTTGTGTTACAAGTATATAGGTACATATTCACGACTGACAGCATCTTCGTTTTCGTAAAATTATGGGTTATCTAAAAAATAGGGAATTATAACTAAGCGAATTCCCTAAAATCCATATTTGGAAGTATAGACTAGAAATGAGTTGGGGGGTGGCTCGAACTTTAGGCACAGTCAGTTTGAATAGCCTACCATGTAGAGAATGTCATGGGGGTCATGGTTGAATAGGGGCAAAAAGTTCTCATTACACTCCTAGGCGGTCAAAATGGCCAAAAACAAAAAAAAAATTCTTATTTCGGCTATAACTCCGCCTCCTTCGGAGGTTCTTACACAGTATATACTTCCCGCATCCCATCTTGTTCAATTCAGAAAAAATCTGCTTCTTTACCAATCAGTAAAAGTACAAGGTTAGACAAGGCCCTTCCAGTTACAGGAGGATAAGCGGATTGGTGATTGAGTAATTTTTTTTTATAGGAGGGGGCAAACGAGCATGAGGTGTAAGAAGTGATGCTCTTAAATTAATTATTTCATATTTAAGTAAGAGAACCCAAAAAGTTGTCATTAACAATATGAGCTCTTCCGGGTCGATGGTACAAATGGGCGTGCCTCAAGGTTCAATTCTCGGCCCCTTTCTGTTTCTTGTATACATTAATGACTTACCTTACATAGTAGGGGATAACCATGATATAGTATTATTTGCAGATCACACTTCTTTAATTTTCAAATTAAGTCGACAATTATTAAAATATGACGAAGTAAATAATGCTATGTCTAAATTAGTAAATTGGTTCAATGTTAATAATTTGTATTTAAATGGCACTAAAACGGAATGTATGAAACTCATGACTCCAAATGTCAAACAATTAAATACTAATATAATTTTAAATGGGGAGAAACTGAGTCTTGTAGATACCACCATTTTCTTGGAATCACACTAGACGCGAAGCTTCAATGGAGCCCCCATATATCAAAACTAGCAAGCATACTTAGTTCTGCAGCATATGCTGTAAAAAAGATTAAAAGTCTAACCAGTATTGAAACAGATAGACTAGTTAACTTTAGCTATTTCCATAGCATAATGTCGTATGGTATTTTGCTATGGGGACATGCAGCTGACACTGAAATTATATTTGTTTAACAGAAGAGGGCCATAAGAACAATTTATGATTTAAAGCCTGTCGAGTCGCTGCGACAAAAATTTTAGGAAATTAATATATTAACTTTGGCCTCTCAATACATTTATGAAAATGCAATGTACGTACACAAAAATAAAAGCAGTTTTACAAAAATAAGTGATATTCATTCTGTAAATACTAGGAACAGACACAAGCTAGTAGTACCAGTTACTCGACTCCATCGAGTCAGTAATTCATTCTTGGGGCAATGTATACGCTTTTACAACAAAATTCCAGAAAATATACAAAATTTGACTGGCTCAATGTTCAAAAACTCTTAGTTTGTATAAAAAGGGTTATTATAATATTAAGGAATTTATGGATGATAATAACTCCTGGAAATGAGGTGATCGCTACCAAGCTATTTCTAATTTGTTTTGTTGTTAATGTGTGTAACGTAACATACATGATTGTAAGCTGTTATTTAAAAAAAGTCCCGCTGGGTTTCTTGCTGGTTCTTCCCAGGACAGAGGTTTTTTCCGAACCAGTGGTAAATAAACAAAAGAGTGACTTTCAATAAGTATTATTTATAATCTATATTGAATAAAAAAGTTTCTGTTTCTGTTTCTGTTTCATACGGCTCACCTGATGGTATGTGATTACCGCCGCCCATGAACAACTGCACCGCCAGGGGAATTGCAGATACGTTGCCGGCCTTTTATAAAGGAATAGGCTCTTTTCTTGAAGGTGTTAGAATTTCGAATGTTATGATTTTGTAAACATAAAATCTAAAAACGTCGCTTGGCAATGAAGGTGTGAAAT